CCCAGGTCCAGCTCCCAGATCCAGCCGCTGACCTCCAGAGGACTGCCGTTCTGACAGTGGCTCTGGGAGAAGACCCCAGACCCCCACTCTGCAGCCCCTTGCCCTGCCTGGGCAGAGGTGGGGGGTAGCTGCAGACCTCCCAGGAGGGGAAGTTCTTTAGAAGAGCAATTAACTAAGTGAAAAATCAAGGCGAAACCAGATACAGCCAACAAACACCTGTCCATAATCTCACAGAATGTAAAGGGTCTCCACTCCTCAATTAAAATACCTAGTTTGACAAAGTGGATTAAAAACAAGGTCCAACTAACATGCCACTTGCAAGGCACGCATAGGAGAGCCATGAACAGGCTACAGGAGAAAGGAAGGGAAGCCTTCCATGCACACAGAGCCCCAAACAAGCAGGAGAAGTTATTCTCCTGTCCGAAAAAGCAGATTTCAAGCAAAATTAATCAGGAGAGACAAAGCAGTCCACTCCATATTGGTAAAGGGAAGAAGATATAATGATGGTAAATACTTATGCACCAAGTGTCAGTTTTCCTGATGACATTTAAAAAATACTCATTGACATTAAATTCCAGACGGACCTCAATGCATGATACTGGGTGATTTCAACATGCCTGCATCATCATCAATAGAGACACAGGTCATTTCCAAACACAGAGTCAGTGAAGGTATTTCTGACCTAAATAAAACTATAAATCAAATCGATGTAGTAGACATCTATAGAATACTTCACCCAAAGCCAGTAGAATTCACTATCTTCTCAGCAATTCATGGAAACTTTTCCAAAATAGGCCATATTCTAGGTCACAATATGAGCTTTAGCCAATACAAAAAAACTGATGTAATTCCATTCATCTTCTCATCCTAATGGGATAAAACTTGAAATCGACAGCAAGATAAATTATAGAAACCATGTAAAAACATGGAGATTGAACAATACTCTTTTAAATTAGGAATAGATTCAACACAAAAAAATTCTCAGAAACAAATGAGAACAGAGACACGACATATAAAAACCTTGGTGACAGTGGGAAGGCAGTGTTAAGAGGCAAGTTTATAGCATTGAGAGCCTACATTTTAAAAAATGGTCCCAAATAAATAATGTAATGTTTTAAAGAGGCTCATTTTTATCTGGAAATTAGTTGTCGTATTCATCATAAAACCAGGTCCTAGCAAAGCAAGAACAAGTCTGTAGACGTCAGGAAGTAATTAAAGATCAGAATCTAAATGAATGAACTTGAGAATAAAAAAACACAAAGGATCAAAGAAACAAAGAATTGGTTCTTTGAAAGGATAAACAAGTTTGATAAACTCTTAACCAAACCAACAAAATCAAAGGTGGAAAAGGAGATATCACCAGATACTTGTGAAATCCAGAGAATTAGAGACTGTTTTGAAAATTTATACTCCAATGAGCCGGAAAACGTGGAAGATGTTGACAAATTTCTAGACACACATTATCTGCCCAAATTGAACCAATAAAAAAACGAATTGATATTTAGTAAGGAAACTAAAACAGCAATTGAAAGCCTCCCATCAATGGAAAGCCAGGACCGGATGGATTCTCACCAGACCGTCCTCAAGTCACTCCATGAAATAGGCAGGAAGGACGCTCCCAGAGCGTTCTGTGGACCAGGACCACTGACAGCAGAACCAGACAAAGGCCCCAGGAGCCAGAACTGCAGACCAGTGAAGGCCCATGTGAATGAGCTCCCAGATCAGAGGTGGGCAAGCCACATTCCAAACCCGTCAGGCCGGGCTCGGCTTGTGGCTCAGCTGGAGCACTTGCCTAGCACGTGGGAGGCCCTGGGCTCCATCCCCAGCACCGCATATAAATAAATAGAGTAAAGGTGTTGTGTCCATCTACAGCTAAAAAAAAACTTGAAGAAAATAACACACCATGATCAAGTGAGCTTCATCCCAGGGATGCAAGGTGGGTTCAACATAAAAAAAAAAAAAAGAACAATAAATGTAATTCACACACAAACACAATTATGGACGAGAATCTCCATCAGGTGACGGTCATGCCACACACCACCCCTGCTCTCC